AAAAACCACTGTGCCCTTGTACTTTTGTAAAAGAAACAGCTAACCAAACAAACTAGAAGTAGAGAATCCTCCTCTGCCTTCTCCAGCATCATCCAGCATTTTTCCTGCTCTCTCTACTGCAAACCAAGTTTTCTGGATGCTACTTTAAGCCATCTCTGGCTACCAAGCCCTGCCACGTGGCTGCAGCATCATGGCCCTAGCCTGCACCACTGGAGCCGCTGCCTCTCTGGGTTTCAGGCTTCAGATCTCCTAACACCATCCTCCAGGCCCTGACTCCATGGAGGTTACATTCTAGTGAAAGAGAAGGCAGTAAACAAACTGATGAATAGGAGGATTTCAAAATAAAGAGGGTCATGGGCAGCTTTTAGTTGAGTACTCGGAGGCCTCTGGGTGGTAAACAGCAACAAGCATCATTGGCAGTCCTGTCACCTTCAGAGGACTTCTTTCATGTCTTGACTGATACGCTACCTACCTCATAGGGTTGTTGAGAGGAGTAAATGAAATGATTTTCATGTCAAGTGAGTGGAACAGTGCCCAGAACACAGCAGTGCTCTGTAAGTCATGACTGTCATATTTACTAACACACTAGTTTGCCCCATTATTCAGGGTTTATATGTGATACTCTCCTAGCTAGACATGAATCCCTGAAGGCTCAAATTTCATCTGACTTTTCCTTTCATTATGCATTCATATTAAGATTCTTCTGAATGCCAAGCACAGTGCTAAACCCTGGGGAATATAAATATGACTAAGGTATAATGCTGGCACTCAACAAAGAATCTTCTAGAACCCTCTAGATCTTTCTAATCCTCTAGGATTGATCTTGTAACTTTTATCTTCCATGCATTCTGTAATTTCTCACTGAAATTCATGAAAATGAGGAATTTGTTTCCAAGTGCCTGCATTTTTGTATTGTGTGTTATGTTACTGTAATTTATACTTTGGCTATTGTTATTGTTGTTTTTAAAAGATTTTATTTTTGGGGTGCCTGGGTGGCTCAGTTGTTAAGCGTCTGCCTTCGGCTCAGGTCATGGTCCCAGCGTCCTGGGATCGAGCCCCACATCGGGCTCCCTGCTCCGCGGGAAGCCTGCTTCTCCCTCTCCCACTCCCCCTGCTTGTGTTCCCTCTCTGTGTCTCTCTGTCATATAAATAAAATCTTTAAAAAAAAAAGATTTTATTTTTATTTATCTATTTGTCAGAGAGAGCAAGAGAGCACAAGCAGGGGGAGCAGCAGGCAGGGGGAGAAGCAGGTTTCCTGCTTGGAGCCCAACACGGGACTCAATCCCAGGACCCTGGGATCATGACCCAAGCTGAAGGCAGACGCCCAACCAACTGAGCCACCCAGGCGTCCCTTAATTGTTAGCTTTATGTAATATTTGCTCTGGAATCAGATGTGTACCGTAGTTTTTTTGTTTTGTTTTAAAGATTTTATTTATTTGAGAGAGAGAGAGAGAATGAGAGAGAGAACATGAGAGGGGGCAGGGTCAGAGGGAGAAGCAGACTCCCTGCCAAGCAGGGAGCCCGATGTGGGGCTCAATCCCGGGACTCCAGGATCGTGACCTGAGCTAAAGGCAGTCGTTTAACCAACTGAGCCACCCAGGCGCCCTTTTTTTTTTAACTTGAAGTTTTCTTTATAGTCTAATGTTATCAGTTCCCAGTTATTCTGTTTGTATGACACAGAATTTAGTATATAAGCTATTAAGTGAGCCTTTTATTATAGTTTGCTATAGTCTTTTTGCAAATCCCAAAAATAGGTGCGTTAAAATCTTTACAACTGTTACGTTTCCAGCAATTTTAAACTTTTTTTGTTTTATATATTTTAACATTTTTTTTGTACTTCAAGGTTCCAATCTTTTTTTTCACGTCAATTGTTCCCTTTATTAAGTTACATTTGACCCATTTCATGTTTTTGTCTTGAATTCTACCTTGCTAAATGGTAATAACTCTACCTAGTTGCCCATCCTTTAAAAATGTGTATTGCGGGGCGCCTGGGTGGTTCAGTTGTTAAGCGTCTGCCTTCGGCCCCGCATCTGGCTCTCTGCTCTGCGGAAAGCCTGCTTCTCCCTCTCCCATTCCCCCTGCTTGTATTCCCTCTCTCGCTGTATCTCTGGCAAATAAATAAATAAAATCTTTAAAAAATATATGTATGTATTGCAAAAATTTTCCAACATACACAAAAACAGAGAATAGTGAATGAACCAACCTAGAGTTGTCAGTTATCAGGATTTTTTCACATTTGCTCCAGTAATCCATTTATCCCTTCATTTTTCTGAAGTATTTTAAAGTAATTCCAGACATCACATTATTTCACCCCAGTAGACATCCACATACTTCCATGTTAATCTTTTTACAGTTGACTGGTGCAAATCAGTATCCAAACAAGGTCACACACAAGATTTGGATGTTGGGTCTCTTCAGCCTCTTTTAACCTAAAGCTGTCCCTGCCTTCCGTCTTACCTTACCCCACACCACTGACTTGTTGAAAAACAAAGGTCAAATGTCCCATATTTTGGACTTATCTTTACTTTATGGTGCCATTTAACTTGTTTCTCTATCCCAGGTATTTCCTCTAAACTGGAAGTTAATTTTAATGCCCCCATTAAAGTCAGGTTCAACTTTTTGGCAAAAACAAAACTTTCATATGGTGCTGTGTATTTAATATAGTGTTTCAGAACGTACAGCAGATAGGCTTGGCGTCAGGAGCTGACAGCCTGCTCGTGGTCAAGTTCTTCATCAACCCTTCATATAATGGTTTCATCATCCAGAAGCTTGGCCTAAAAAAACTATTTCATTAGGGATTACAAAATAATTACTTCTGATGTTACTCTTTTTTCCACATTTATTGTCCGGAATACTTTGTAAAGAACTTTCTCTCATTAATTATGTCTATTAGTTTATCCTGAAATAAGTTGTTTAAAAAGACAGGATATATGTATAATATTTTTTCCTTCAGTGCCAGTTTTTAACGAATTGGAACCCTTGATACATCTTTTTTTTTTTTTAAGGATGGACAGCTTGTGGTTGGATTTTGGGTTGACCCAGTGTATTTGCCTAATAGAGGTCTTTACTGATTCATAATTATCCTAAGTATGTTTGGTTCTGTATTTATACTTCTGAATTTATGCTACTTTGCTGATTTCTATCTTTAACTTTTGCTGTATAGGATGTACTCTTCTTGGGGTGCCTGGGTGGCTCAGTCGGTTAAGTGTCTGCCTTTGGCTCAGGTCATGATCCCAGGGTCCTGGGATCCAGCCCCATATCGGGCTCCCATGCTCGCTTGCTCGCTCTCTCAAATAAGTAAAATCTTAAAAAAATAAAAAGGATGTACTTTTCTCTCTAGTGATTTGAAAAGCATAATCCCATTTTACTAGTGATTATTTTTTAAGATTTTAAATTATCTCCACACCCAACATGGGGCATGAACTTACAACCCCGAGATCAAGAGTCACACACTACACTAACTGAGCCAGTCAGGCACCACACTAGTGATCATTTTCAATGTAAAATCAATGCATGCTCAATGCAAAAAAATTCAAACAACCCAGGAGAGTACACAACTTAAAAGTGCCCCAATCCTATGCAAATGCCTTGGATGGAGAGCATGTTCGGTTGTTCACTGGTATCTCTTCCAATAAGTCTTCCAAACGGTCTCCTTCCAATGCTAGGGACTCCTGCTACAAAACTTCTGGGGACGGATGTTGGGTCCTTCCTTGAACGTGAGTTCTAACTCCACTCCAAAAGCAAACTAAATGGCTTTTTCTTGGATTCCCCATGTTTTACTTGTCTGAATCCTTCGATCTTCAGCAGGATGGCTCGGTGCCCATTCAGTGACTCACAGCAGAAAGGGATACTCGTTTTTGTGCATTAAAGGCCTTCTGGCACACAGACTGTTGTAACTAAAGCAGCTCTAAGTGGAACACACCTTGCCCCTCAACCACATTTTTTTACCTTCAGCATAATGCCTGCCCCTATGATCAGGGGTGATGGGACCCAGGCTCTCCTCTGCTTATGTCCTGTAAGACCGCATGGCTTTCTAGGCGCTATCAGCCATTGTTGCTCTTCTCCACTAGTCCATCTGCCATCTTTGGGAGCAACGTCAAAGGGCTGTTATGTCTGTGCATGCTGCCTTTCGAAGCTCTTGCAGGTTTTTCCTACAGGATGTAAGCCTTATCAGGTTAGATGCCTCTGCTCAGAACACTTGCTTACCTATAACCTTCCCAGGTTATCTCATTTAATTCTCATTATAATCCTGAGGTTTGTGAATGAGAAAAGGCAAGTCCTAAGACAGCGAACAAGTAGTCTAAAACTAGCAATTCTGTGTGCTCAAAGAGAGTAAAGCAATAGGCAGACCAGGTCCTCTAACTTCAAGGGCAACAGAATGCTTTCTAGCACCTCACCTTACTTTATTGTCTTTTTTTTTTTTTAAGTCATCTCTACACTCGATGTGGGGCTCAAACTCATGACCCCAAGATCAGGAATCACGTGCTACCAACTGAGCCAGCGGGGTGCCTGCACCTCACCTTACTTTATACCACCTGTATTTGCTGCCACTGCTCTGGAGTCCTACTAACTAGGATCAATAGCAGGAATTTCTTAAATGAAATGATGGAATTAAAATATTAATTTTCCATGTTCAAATACAAAGCTGTAACCAGTTTTAACTCTGTGACAAAATTTTCTTTCATACCACATTTATGCTGAGGAACTGAAGCACAGAAAAGGAGAGCCCTGCTTGCTACTCACCCTGCTGTTACATCTGCAATTTGGACCACCTGTCCTTGTGACTTACTTACGGACAAGTACAAGGGAGCACTGCTTAGGAACCAATGGTTTGAAAGCAAAGAGGAAGGTCAAGGGAATGTATGCAATGCACTGTCCAGTGCAATGCACTGTCATCAGCCCTACTGTGATTTGTTCAGATTTCAGCAGCCCTGGGGACCAACTGGCTCCTACAAATCCTAACCATTAGATAGCTAGACCAGCACACACCTGTAGGCTCACCTTTCCATTTTAACAAAAAGTCCACCTCTACTGATGGCATCTCAGAGTTGTAAGGGCAGACACACAGCACCGTATCATTATTTTTAATGTCCAGCATTTACAATACGAGGGCCAGAGCTTTCTCCCCAACTCAAGTTTATAAATTCTCAATTGGCTTGTGAGGCCAATAGGGATACTTCTTCTTGTCTAATTTGGTTTCTGGAAAGACTTCATTCAGGTCCTCAATGGTCATCTGATCAAATGGAATTATGTTCCGCATCTTCTCCAGCTGGAAAGAGGGGAATTGTGTTAAGGTAAACAGGGCCACAGAGATGCAAAAAAGAACCCAAGGTAAGTTACTGCCACTAGGTGAAAGATGTGTGGCCATGAGAGAGAGAAAACATATTACATCCGAAGGCCAAGGCTGATCCTTACCTCTTTTTCATATTCCTCAATCCTGGCCTTTGAGAGAGACAAAAACTCGGCACAACTTTTCACCTTAAAGAGAAGGGAGATACTCTGTTTTGAAACCAAGTTGTACTGTCCTGACCCTAAGGCTCAAAAAACCGAAGTCCCAGAGCCCACCACTCTTGCTTTCCCACTCTGTATGGAGAACACATGGCTGCCCTGACTCCTGGGTGTGCTTGCTTTGGGAAGCAAACTACAGCTTTTCCTAAATTCACAAAGATGCCCACACGAGAGAACCAGCTTACAATAGCAGTACCAAGGTTCATCGGCAAATTACTCATCTAGACAACCTACAAAATGCCTACGTTTCACAGGGGCCGGTTACTGAATGTCAGGACAAGCCGCCTGACCACCTAGCCACACTTCTCTTTGGTGGAGCCACCTGGCTTCCCACATTTGGCTTTCATACTTTCAAGCAAATAGTTAGGTGCTCCTTTTAATTCCTTCTACCTTAACCTAACTTCTAAGAAATATAGAGCCATCAGGAATTAAGAGAATTTTAAAATAAGTAAGAGTCTCAACTACTTACGTCTTCTTTTTCTTCAGCATCCACCTGAACAGTATATTTATCCTCTGGCACAGGAACCTTCAGGGCATTAAACTACAAACACAGGGACAGTTGTTATTAATATACCTGGGAGTCCAAAGAAAGGGCTCAAAGACCCCAATCCTTACAGATAAAAACACATTCTCAAAGAGGAAACCAGTATGCATCTAGAGTGTTGTAGTGGAAAGAATATTAGCCTGAAAACAGGAGCTCAAGGTTCTCAGTCCTGTCACTAACTGGACAATTCTTTATTACAATGAGCTTCAGTTTCTTCATCTAAGAACAACAGCTGGATTTGATGACCTAAAAAATGGCCTCCTAGAACCTTGTAGTTCTAAACTCTGATTTCTCTTTCAAACAAATCTCTAATGGACTGACTGGCAGAAGTCATGTTTACATAATGGCGATGAAGATGGTCTCCTTAGAAGACTGCCTAGCCTTATGGGCCCAGCACGGAGCACTATACCTGGCACAGAGGAGGCCTTCGAAAAGCATTTGTCAAATGAATAAATAAATTATGGATACTGAGGTTTAACATGTAAATGTCAGAAGAGGCTAGGTGGACGAGAAATTAAGCCAAAAGGCACAGTAAAAAGGAGCAGAAAAAGGAAGAAAACAGTGAAAGGGTAGAAAAGATGTTAGGGAGACAGGTGAGGGGCTAAAAAATAATTGAGGAAGAGTTGGAATGGAAACATTTAACTCCACAGCCCTCTGCCTCCCTAGTTAATAATGTACTGGACTGTTTCTCTGGATAAGAAACTTGCTGAATGAAGACCCTGAATTCTGTGCACATATTCACCATATAAATCTACACCCATCTTTCCTGAACTTCCTCTGGGATCTGTTAACAGCACCCTTGTTTCCATGCTGTCATCCTGAATATCTAGTTACCTACTGTTCTGCTCCGCACTCGCAAGCCACACTACAAGACCAGTGTTTTGGGTGCCTGAAGTCTCACCTTCTTCTCAAAGTCATCTACCAAACCAGCCTTCGCCACATTGGCCTTGTAGTAAGCCCAGTCGATAGCAGGTGGTTTCTCAGGGAGAGTAGCCAACCTGCTCACACAGAAAAGCAAAAGTTAAAATTGGTCTATGAGCAACAGAAAATTCACACAGTACGTTCCTTATTCCTATGGCCTAGAGCTATCATCACATTTTTCTCTAGGAGGGAGATCATAGGAATGCCAAAAAACTAGTTTCATTTGGAAAAATGTATGCTTTCTTTTAAAAAAAGATTTATTTATTTTAGAGAGAGCGTCCTCAAGTGGGGGGGGAGGGGCAGAGGGAGAGAATCTCAAGCAGACTCCCCGCTGAGCATGGAGCCTGACCTGGGACACAATCTCACAACCCGTGAAATCATGACCTGAGCCGAAACCAACAGTCAGAAGCTTAACTGACTGAGTCACCCAGGCACCCCTATGTGTGGATTTCCTTATATCAGAAGAACATCAGAAATTCATATGTAATTCCAAATCACTGTTTTGCTTCCATATTCAGTAGCAAGTTAAGAAGATCCCTCTCAGAATGGTACTGACCTGGAGGTAAGGGTCTCATTCCAGGATTTCAGGGAGTTAGCAATGGTCTTCTGGTTTCGGGGTATGATCTCCCCAAAAGCTACCCAGTCAATGGATTTTAGAGCAAGTTTTCGCGCAGCCATCTTGAGATCCTGGAAAATAAAACAGGTCAGATCAAAACAGGGCTCTTACTGAGAATCCTTTAAAGGGCACCTTAGAAACATGCATCTTTTAAGAAATAGATCAGCATCCTGACAGCTTGAGGAGTACATTTATCAACTAAAGGAATCAGGATAACTAAATAAGGATAGTTTAGCTTCTCAAATTCAAGGGATGCAACCTGGCATATAACTACATCATTTCCCCCAAGACTGTCCCCCTCTTATTCCCCAATTCTTACTCATCCTTAAAAGCCCAGGTCTCTAGTGTTTGCTCTTCACGTACCTTTGGAAATATTGCTAAAGTAATACACACTGCATAAAAGTGAACCATTTTAATACATTTCCACTCCAACTGCATGTGTTTTACTCAGATTCTCCAGTGCACAGAACCTAACACATACACAAGTTTCAACAAAGCTTAAATAGAGCAGACCCTAGGCCAGAATTTCCTAGGGGATAATACCAGCCCTGTTTACCTCAGAAGGCTGTTAAAAGTACCAAGTGAAATTGTGCACAACAATCTGCCCTACAGTCTTACCAAGTTTAAGGGGCTCTCTACTCACTCCCTACCTGATTGGTAATACCTGCACCTTCCTATTCATGTCTGATTATCCTCTGCAGCACTAGCACATACCCTGTGTATTCTAGTCAATACCCTTAACAGAGGTATTCAATACATACGTGAATGTGAGAGAAGGTGCAGAGTGGTTACAGCCATTTTTTTTTAACTAAGAAAATGGGAAAATAGTCAAACTAAATTTAAGATCAGTGCCAGACATTAGGAGAAAGACTGAAATGTCAAAGGCCTTTGCAAACTATGGGGTGGATCACAAGGGAGGCGGAAGAAATTCTCGGGATCTTAAAAAGGAACTGGTCCAACTCCTGCCTCTTGCTTTCCTTCCCTCTCAGCAATAGCTTGTTTCCAGGAGTGGAGGTGATGGGCAGGTGACTTTTATTTTAAGTAATCTCTACACCCAATGTGGGTTTCAAACTTATAACCCAGAGATCAAGAGTCGCGTGCTCCACGGACTGAGCCATCCAGTACCACCGCAGGTGACTTTTAAAGACGCCAAAGAAATAAGCGCCCTTACAGAGACTTTTCCAAGCACCAGCGCAGGTCGGCTTCATAAACGGGACTTTTGTGCCTTATATATTGCTGAATCCCCAGCGCCCAGAACAACAGGTCAGGCGCACAGGAGGTGCTCGGTGAGTATCTGTTGAAAGGGGACGCGAACCCTGCACTTGAGAAGCTCTGAGCGCCCCACACTCTCCAATGTTGGAACCCTCAGGATGAGACGGAGTGTCCCTCGCTCAACAACTTAACACTACCTCGGGGTAACGTTTCCGCAGCCCCCACACCGGACTGCCCAAGTCGGCCGCGATGGGGGCGGACCGAACGAGGCGAGCTGTGTGGAAGCACCTCGGTCCGAGGCGGCAGGGTCACAGCCCGGCCCGGCGACCTCGCGCGGGGGAGGGGAAAAGGAGGGAGCGCCGAGCAGAGCGGCGGCGGCAGCAGCTACGCCCTGGCGCCCTGCCAGCGGGCCAGTCGCAGGGCCCGGCGTCCTCGCCAGGAGTGCGACAGGGTCGACACAAGGCCTGGAGGGGGCAAAACTGGGCAGCCCGCCGCTGTCGGGCCCAACGCCCCCAAACCCCACTCACCTTCACCGACCCCGGCGGCCCAGAGACCACAGCAGCAAGGAACGGAACTGGGTCACCGGAAAGCCTCCCTGAGCCAACCCCAAAGCTGAAGGGGCGGGCCTTGCTTTGCAGGTCAGCCCGTAGAGATGGAGGCTGGTTCCGGAAGTCCCGCCCCCGAGGGCGGGCGCAGCACCTCCCCCTCCCGGGTCCCCGGGCGCTGGTTGGGGGCGCTCCCGTCCCTCTCCCCCAGCCCCACCCCCGCCGATGGGCCGGCCCGGCTCTCCCTGCCGAGAGATGGGCCGGCCCGGCGGCGCGCGGGCAGCGGCGGCGGTGGCGGCCCAAGATGGCGGAGCTGAAGCTGGACCCGGCGATGGCGGGGCTGGGAGGGGGTGGCGGGAGCGGGCTGAGCGACGGGGGCGGCCCGGGCCGCGGGCCCCCCAGCCCTCGCCCCGCCGGGCCCACGCCCCGCGGGCACGGCCGCCCGCCCGCCGCTATTGCGCCGCCGCTGGAACCGGGTCCCGGGCCGCCCGAGCGGGCAGGGGGCGGCGGTGCGGCCCGCTGGGTCCGGCTGAACGTGGGCGGCACCTACTTCGTGACCACCAGGCAGACCCTAGGCCGGGAGCCCAAGTCTTTCCTATGTCGCCTCTGCTGCCAGGAGGACCCGGAGCTGGACTCGGACAAGGTGCGCCCCGCCCTCGGGCGCGCTCCCGGCCATCGGACCCCCTTCGTGCCTCCTAGCTCGTCCCCAGATTCCTGCGACACGCTCCTCACAGGCGGGCTTTTCGGGCTGGAGCCCCCTCCCACCCCTCCCCCGCCAGGCTGGCCCTGGGGGCTGTTCTCCCCCATCCTCAGTCGCTTTCTCTCTGACCCCGCCCTTCGCTCTCAGCGACTCGTTCCCCACACAGTGCCCGCCCGCACCCACAAAACCCACTCCACACCCCTTCTCCGTATTCCTCTCTACACCTCGCATACCCGCCCCTCAGCTGTGCATGAGTTTCCCCCTGGCTCCTCGTCAGCCCCTCACTGCCTGTGCCAGATGCGTCCAGAACTGGGTCAGGGTGAGCGAAGGCATCTTTGTAGCTTTCTCAGACTTCCTCTCGGACCCCTCTGCCAAGTTGGGTGAAAGCCTGGGTCTGACAGCTGCAGGAAGTGCTTCTCATGATACCACACTTCTTTCCTGTGGTCCTGGGCCCTGAGCTCGTATCTCGTAACAGTCGCTGTGTTACCGTATTGGAGCTCAGATACATACCTTGGAAAGAGATTACCAGTTGCCAGTGCAAACCTAAGCCGACTGGTTAAGGCCATCGGAAAATGAAAACAAGAATGCTGTTGAGCAAGGGGCAAGGCTGCTAACCAGAAGTTGAGAGGTGACGAGACACTTCTAACCCATTTCCAGTTTGAAGTGTTGTTTATTAACTTCACACATTCATCATTTAGTTGCCAGCTTAAAGGCGTTGACCATAGCTTACACTACCTTCTATTCTATATAGCACTCAGCCAGTTATATTGAAATAGAAACAGAGTTGGGTTTGGGTAAAGATAGGCTGATTTTAGTTATTCACCATCTACCTCTCCTCTAATCTCAGATCGATGGAAACCTGTCCTGCCGTAACTTTAAAGAAATTCCAAAACCTTTCCTTATAAAGGAATTATTTTTATCTACCCTAAATCTCTCCTATTGCAATAGAAGCCAGTTTCTTCTTGTTCCCTTTACTGTAAAGATGAGTAGGATTAAAGCTGCTCAGCGCCAAGGCCTGGCAGTGCCAAGCTTCCTCTGGGCACAGAACTGGGGTGTGTGAGTTACAGCTGGGAATGCAGACTTCTGCCGATGTTGGCCTTGAGCTCAGGAGTATTGCCAACTATACAGAGGTTTTCTTAGAATCAGGAATGTGATTTGGGGGCAGTAGAGAAGTCAGAATGTCCATCTCAAGCAGAGATTTAAATAATCAAACTGTGGCATTTTCTTCCCTTTTCTTTATAACAGATATCCCTTAGAAGAATGGTGGTAATTGTGTCCAGGTAAAGATTTTAAAGTTCAAGTAAATGCCTGGATGACGTGACTAGACATTGTAACACCCCACCTGAAACAATCTCAGAGTACAAGATACATAAAGCTAGCCTTCTTGCCTGTAGTTTATGATAAGCAACGGCTAGCAAAACTTGCCCTCTCACTAATGAATTGTGACAGAGAGACTGAAACCCTGCCTGGACTTAGTCTGAAAGCTCCAGAGTGATACCTTTGTGTTTGGTTGGCAGGACGAGACAGGGGCCTATCTGATTGACAGAGACCCCACCTACTTTGGTCCTATCCTAAACTACCTCCGCCATGGGAAACTCATCATTACAAAGGAGTTGGCAGAAGAAGGTAAGAACAATGTTTGAACTGGGCATTTTCAAAATTCGGGCCATATCTTTAAAGCTGTTTCACAGATTTGAGAATTTTTTTGAGATTTTCATCAAGTTCATGTGCAGGTGTAGTAAAAGGTTTATGAAAGTGAGCAGGGAGTCTCTTGTTACCTAGTCTTATCTGAGGAAGTCTTGCTTAAGGGATCCCCACTGGGCTCTGTTCAGCCTCCTGAATGAGAAGGAAAATAGGTAGCTCAGTTTTGCAGTTTGCAGATAGCTTCAGGAGCATTCTCCAAACCTGCAGAATCGTCAGGATCCCTTTTTACTTTTACTTATGTGCTTGCGAGCAGTGAATGTCCGTAGCCCAAAGCATCACATCTCTGACATTAATTATTTATATTTTCAATTTTAGTTTGAACTTGCAGCTATAAAAAATAATAAAGGCTTGGCCTCATTTCTTTTAAGACTGGTCTCATGCTTCCTTGTAAATTTTTGCAGCTGACCTAATTCATTCTCCAGTCCATTGTTAGGTGTTATCATCGGTTGCCTCATGTTTTTGGTTTGTAGGGCATCTGGACTATAAGTGGGTCTAGACATCTTCTAAAAGGCTTGGTGTGGTCTCACCAAAGGCATTCAGTTGAAGATTGGGGCCTGTCCCTAAATCCAGGGCACCCTGACCTGGAAGCTTTAGCTCTGAGTAAGAAAGCTGTAATGGCTGTGCTAGTTAATGAAGTGGCCACAAAACACATCGCATGCTCGCTCTCTTTCTTTTTTTAACATTTCAAATGCATACAAAAATAAGGGGAATAGTACAATAAATTCCATGCACCCACCATCCAGCTTCAATAATTACTACCTCACGGATAATCTTGTTTCTTGAAAAGAGAAAGCTTCAGCATCTTTTCTGAAGTCTTTAAAAAATTGTTTTCTATTTTGAAACTATTTTCAAACTCAGAGAAAAGGGCAAGAATAGCACAGAGAACTCCCGGATTCACCAATTTTTAACATTTTTGTCATACTTGTGTTATCATCCGTTCTCTCTCCCCCCTCCTGTCCTTCCTTCCCCACCAGTTTTTACTTCTGAACTATTTGAGACTAAATTACAGATTCACCCCTTAATACTTCAGTGTATTTCCCAAGAACAAGGGTTCAGTATAATTATCGAGTTCAGGAAATTTAGTATTGATAAATTTTTTTTTTTTTTTTTTGCGAGAGAGAGAGAACGAGAGACAGAGAGCATGAGAGGGAGGAGGGTCAGAGGGAGAAGCAGACTCCCTGCTGAGCAGGGAGCCTGATGTGGGACTCGATCCTGGGACTCCAGGATCATGACCTGAGCCGAAGGCAGTCGCCTAACCAACTGAGCCACCCAGGCGCCCTTGATAAATATTTCTATCTGCAGCTTATATTCCAATTTTATCAGCTGTTCCAATAACTTTTTTTTATAGCAAGTGTTTTTGTCTGATACCAGATCACACATCCCACTTAATTGTCCTGTCCAAGGCCTTTGATTTTATTTAGCACAGCATTCTTTCAGTAATTGCCTTTCATGTCGTTCAAATAATAAGCATCCTATTAAATCTGGTCCACATAAATTTATACACACCCACCCCTGGTCATTTTTAGGACAAACTGGGTAAGCATTGCAAGCTCAGGAGTTCTCCAATATGACCAGTTCCAGGAAGTAAGTGACATGGGAAAAGGTGTCCTACAGCTAATGGGCAGGGCAGGGAGAGTCGGGGAAGGTGCCAAGTGGGAAACTGCAGGGGTGAAACAGAGTGAACAGAGCAGACCCAGAGCTTGACTCACTCACTTTGGAGAGAAGGAAATGGGTACACCTTAAACAGCAAAGAAATGTTTACCAGGCTGAAGGAGAGAGACTAGGCTTCCATTTGAAAAATTCAGTTCTTAGCAAGCATGGAAACTTCAGCCTATTGCTGTTTTCTGGGGAACATACACACATCTCTAACTACAGTTTGATCCTTGTCCTAGGTGTTCTGGAAGAAGCGGAGTTTTACAACATTGCATCTCTTGTGCGGCTGGTAAAGGAACGGATACGGGACAATGAGAACAGAACTTCTCAGGTAACGGGCTTTGAACTCTTTTTTTTTTTTAATAAGATTTTATTTTTAATCTCTTCACCCAGCATGGGGCTGGAACTCACGACCCTAAGATCAAGAGTCACAGGGTCCACCGACTGAGCCAGCCAGGCACCCCACGGGTTTTGAACTCTTAAAGGGAAAAGGTCTCAGTGGCTCTTTGTCGCTGTATCTGGGTGGGATTTGAAAGGGATGATGTGCTGTCAGGCAAGAGCTACCTCTCCCCTTAAAGCTGGAGGTCTATGTGGAACACGGTCCATCCACCAGGCAGACAGCACATTCGCCGCCGGACTTGTGCAGAACAAGGAAACAGAAGAACACGTAACAAAACAAAACAGCCCTCCTGTCCCTTTAAAAGAAGGAGAGGTTGTGGCTGCTCACCATTTGGTAGCAGGAGGAGCCCACCACACTTTAGGTCTGGAACCTTATTCTTGCAGAGTATCTGTCCCCCTCCACGTAAAGGCCCAGCGAGCTCTTGCTTACACCTGTTGGCCACTGTTAGGACCAGCCTTTTTTAAAGTGTGATCACGTCCCATTCAGCTCCTGATAGCCATGTGAAACCAGTCTCATGGCCTAGACTTTAGGAGCTGCTTGGGAATCATGCTTCTGAGGAAACAATCTCAAGCTTCTCTGTTTATTATGAAGTCTGGGTTTTTATATTAACTCAGTAGATAGAGTAACAACAACAACAAAACACATAATTTGCCACCTAGTTTGAGAAGACAATAGGGCACACACAGCTTATTTCACATGACATCACCCATCACATGTCATAAGTGGCCACAGTGGCATCCTTTAGGCCCTTGAGATTCTCTGCCTCCTAGGAGAGGGTCTGTGCCCTCTAGAAGCCTGAAGTCTAGCAGGGAAACAGACGGTCCCTTTCCTGTATAGGCTCTATTTTAAGAAGGTGCAGCTGCAGTGACAGAGGGCAGCATCGGACTCCACTGTGACCATCTGTCTTGTAGCCTGACTTGCCTCTTATCCCATCAGCTCCTGGTGATGGATGCTTTCCTGAGATCCAGTCTATTGCAATGTCGAATTTTTCTGTGATTCAGAAGGCAGTATGTTTCTTTCCAAAAGTCAAAACAAAACAAAAAGTAAAAAATAGTTCCTTTCTGTGTTAGACTTCATATATCCAAGTTTCTGGCTCCAAATGGAGTTTATCTGGTTGGATAACTGACACCTATGATAAGAAATGACTTTTCTTATTCACTTTATCTGTAGTAGTTTGCGAAGGTGGAAAGAAGAGCTTATTTACTTTTCTTCCTTCTGGCCGATGGCTGAAAGCCTCCTTTTTAATGTTCAAAAATGAATTTATAGTTGGTTGGCCAGGTTTGCCATTTACCGTACGAACTACAATCTGGTGGCAACAGTCTTGTTGCCATCTCGGATTCTAGGTACGTGGCATCTTTCTCTGTTGTAGATGCTTAGTAGCTGGACGTTCTGGAAACCTAGCTTTAGCCTCAATTATCTACATTCCAAAAAAACTTTTGATTGCTTAGTGTCGGTTGTGATGGTACCATGAATTATGTAATCTGAAGCCATTCAACCCTGAATGTTCTCAGTTCTTGGCCATTAGCTCAGTCCTTGAGGGCATTGTAAGATCTGCTTGATGACAGCGATTAAGCAGCGATTGAGTTAATTAGTCCTCTAGGTTCTGAAGGCTTGTGGATGTAGACCCAGTTGGAAGCTTTTTTGTCTGGGGATGTCGAGGCCTTTTTGATGCTAACTGATCTTTCCATTAGTGAAACTCTGGGCAGTGGTTTTGAGGTTGTTCAAAAACACCCTCTTTTATATGTGTCACAGACCGCTCTAAGGCGAAACTGGCCATTTGTATTTTTGTGGCTGTCCCTTCAAACACGTTATCTCCTTTAACTTGCCTATTTTTTTTTCTTTAAGATTTTAAATAATCCCAGGGGCGCCTGGGTGGCTCAGTTGTTAAGCGTCTGCCTTCAGCTCAGATCATGATCCCGGGGTCCTGGGATCGAGCCCCACATCGGGCTCCCTGCTCTGCAGGAAGCCTGCTTCTCCCTCTCCCACTCTCCCTGCTTGTGTTCCTGCTCTCACTATCTCTCTCTCTCTCTCTGTCAAATAAATAAATAAATAAATAATTTCTATACTCAACATGGGGCGGGAACTTACAACCCCAAGATTAAGAGCCACATGCCCTGACTAACCAGGCGCCCGTAACTGTTCTATATTTCAAGGAGACACACATGACAGGGATTCAGGCAAAGCCCAAGGTGTGGGTGTCCCACCCTACTTTTTAGTGACTTCTCAACTCTCCTGGTGGCTGCCACCACTCTACTACTTTGCTGTCTCTGATAATATTTTTTGTTAGGTCATTAATCTTAGTGCATTAGAGAACACCTGTGGTTTACTTTTGAAGAGAAAAATTAAAAAGAAGTAATACCTGCATCTTAAATACCTGGGGCTTTGACAGTTGTCACCAGTACCATAGATCTTTCATGATACTCTGAGTTTTATTTCCAAAATACGTGATTAGAGATCACTGAAGTCTTCCCGAGATTTGTTCTGTATTTTATGTGGAGGGAATGTTTCTCTTGGTACTCGTGTAACAATAGTTGCATTCGGTCTGGAAGGGGAGAACGTGGGAGAAAGAGCACAGCGTTGTTGGCAGCCCGGCCCGAGCCCTGGCGCGGCCTCCATCCCGACAAGCGCCGCCTGACTCGGGCAAGGCACTGAGCTGACACCAGCGTCCCACAGGAGACAGGAGCAGAAGGCGATAACGCTCTGGGCTTGTAGCACTCCGTAATCCAGAGCTGCTTTTGTTGAGCCAGTATTTCCCCAGTAGTGAGTTCTTCCAAAACGAGTTTTCCAGTTAACTGAAGCCCAGTCATCCTTTTGAAAAAGTACGGAAGCCAAATTTCCATTTTTCTTAAGGAAACAGTCCATATTTTTTAAAAATCATGTGAATATAACCAATCTCTGCATGATGGAACATCATTGTTCTGAGCTTCCGTTGCTGTTTGTGCTGTTTGGGCTCTAACAAATGCCTCATGTCCTTTGGGACGGGCAGTGGATGTGCAGCTGTCGGACCCAACACCGAATGGTCCAAGACTGACAAACACTGCGTCTTCCTGTGGGCCTCTAATTGTCCTTCTGTGAACAAGAGCTTTCATCTGGTGAGCCTGCCTCCCTGCAGCAACCCTTGCCCTCACCTGACTTTGGGTTGTTTTTTTTTTAAAGATTGATCGATTGGGGCGCCTGGGTGGCTCAGTCCTTGAGCATCTGCCTTCGGCTTAGGTCATGATCCCAAGGTCCTGTGATCGAGCCCCGCATCGGGCTCCCTGCTCGGTGGGAAGCCTGCTTCTCCCTCTCTCACTCCCTCTGCTTGTGTTCCCTCTCTTGCTGTCTCTCTCTCTCTGCCAAATAAATAAATAAAATCTTTTAAAAAAATAAAGATTGATTGATTTGAGAGAGAGAGAGAGAGACAGAACAGAGGGAGAGTGAGAGGGAGAAGCCGACTCCCCACTGAGCAGAGAACCTGACACAGGGCTCGATTCCAGAACCCTGAGATCATGACCTGAGCCAAAGGCAGATGCTTAACCGAGTGAGCCACCCAGGTGCCCCCTGACTTTGGCTTCTAAGTCTCACGGGCCAAGTCCTAAATGTGAGGGGTTCTCCTGTGGATAAAGTGTAGGGGCCTTAGTGCTGCAACTTTGGGGCATTCAGCCTTTTTGCTTCTGGTTCTAACTTCTTTTCCAGAGTTGAGTGGGCTAGCAGATGACTTCTGTCTGGGGGCGCCTGGGTGGCTAAGTCATTAATTATCTGCCTTTGGCTCGGGTCATGATCCCAGGATCCTACGATCGAGCCCCGCATCAGGCTCCCTGCTTGGCGGGAAGCGTGCTTCTCCCTCTCCCACTCCCCCTCTGCTTGTGTTCCCTCTCTCGCTGTCTCTCTGTCAAATAAATTTAAAAATTTTTTTAAATAATTTAAAAAACAATAAAAAATAAAAAATGTTTTAAAAAAATTACTTCTGTCTGAATCTCCGACACCAACTGGGTGTCCAACAGCTTATCCTATCCTGACACTAACTAATACATAGTAACTATTTCTACAGGTTTCAGGGCTCAATCCCACACTTCAGATGCCAGTGCCACGTCCCAGGTCCCCAGGCAACTTGCACTTCTGTCCATCGTGGCTACAAATTGAAGGGTCCCATGACATCCCCCTTTGGGTTCAGTAATTTACTATAACAACTCCTAGAACCCAGGAAAATGCTCTACTTACTATTAAAGTTTATCTCTAGGAGACAAGCAACAGCCAGATGGAGAGAGACATGGGGTGGGGTCTGAGTACAGGAGCCTTCGTGCCTGTGCAGTCGGGATGTACCGCTTGCCCGGCTCCTGGTTATGTTTGCCAATTTGGAAGCTCCCTGAACCCCAGTGTTGAGGGGTTTTTAAGGATGTTTCATTATGTAGGTACAACTAATTAAATCATTGGCCGTTGGTGATCAAATTCAGTCTTCAGCCCCTCTCCCTCCCACTGATGTCCAGGGTTAGCAAGTAGGACTGGATGTTCTAACCTTCTAACGGTGCTTGGTCTTTCTGGGGACCAGTCATTAGCACAAAAAAGACATTTTTATCCCTCAAGAAATTGCAGGGGTTTTAGGAGCTCTGTGCTAGGAACCAGGAACAAAGACCAAATACTTATTTTTTAGTATACACTTTTGTAATGCGAGTGCTACCATTTAACACTCAAACACTTTCACTCTCAGCTACCATCAGCAGAGGGTAAAAGTGGTTTGAACATTGGTATATTGTGGGATTCCTATTTAATATATTATTCCCATAATAAGGTTTCACTCTGAATAAGCCAAAATATGGTCCACATTTTCAGCATGTATGTCAGATATGAACCACTTAAGAAGATGATGTGACTTTCTTGTCCGAAGTGATTTTATTCTGTTTTCTACTTTGGGAAATAGACGAAATCTAAGCACATAATTCATTTCTCTGAACTTGAGAATTATTTTACCCACGAATTCATAGCCTTGGGCCTTTTTTTTTCTTCCTTTCCTTGGATGAGTTTTTATTGAAAAATGGCATTGCTCCTTGTCAGAGGGGCTAGTGTGTGGCTGTCCAGAAAAAATGTCCAAGCAAACTCCTTTTCGGTGTTTGTTTTTGGGAAGAGCCGCACCAGGGCAGCTGCAAACTGTGTGTCCTTGAGATTGTTCTTCAAAGTCTGTTGGTTGTCACAGGGCCCTGTGAAGCACGTGTACAGAGTCCTGCAGTGTCAGGAGGAGGAGCTTACGCAGATGGTCTCCACTATGTCTGATGGTTGGAAATTCGAACAGGTATGTTTCCCAGGAGGCCACGCACCTCAAACCATCGCCACCCATAGGCAGCTCATAACCCAGGGGGTTCGTAGGGCCAGGTGGGCCAGGTGGGAACCTGTTCAGAAACGTGGGAAAGAGCCACTTGGTGTGGATTATTTGCTCGGTCATACAGGTTGAGTTGGGGAGAATTCCAAATAGTATCATGTCTCCCGACCTCACATCCAAGTTTCAATTTGATTGTGCCCAGAGGGAGCCAGCCAGCTTGCTTAGGCTTGAAAGTGCCTCTCTGGGGTTTTTCCCTCCCTCAGAGGGATTCCTTTCAAAAGTGCTCAGTTGGGCACCTGGGTGGCTCAGTCGGTTAAGTGACTGCCTTCGGCTCAGGTCATGATCCTGGAGTCCCGGGATCGAGTCCCGCATCGGGCTCCCTGCTCGGCGGGGAGTCTGCTTCTCCCTCTGACCCTCCTCCCTCTCATGCTGTCTCTCATTCTCTCTCTCTCAAAAAAAAAAAAAAATCAAAAGTGCTCAGTTGACACATTCTAGAATAAGTACCTGAAGGGGGCTAGGATTCAGCAACAGCCCTTCCTTTCCTTCCCCCAGAGTGAGAATGCTATCATTCCGAATATATATGTAATCCATCCAGAAAAGCATGAACAGGTGTAATGTGAAAGGAGTCAGGCATGGTGAGAAGTGTGTTTCCCATCAGTCTGTGCATTTCTGTTCCTTCAGCTTTGTGCCGTGGCGGAAGTATCTAAACAAAGCCACACAGTCAGAATTGTACTGTTTTCTTCCATTAGATGGCAGAATTGTTCAGCTCATCTATTGTGTTCGCCACAGGGAGGCTGGGCACGCACAGAATGAATTGTTACAGTTTTGTGTGGATCATGCCAATTTTTGTGCAGAATTGAAGAGTCAGTTGAATGGTCACCATAAACTCGCCTTCTCAAATAGCGGCTGTGCTTCCTGTTAAGGGCATTGTGTTATAGATCGAATATACAGGTGTCTCGGCCTTCAGAGCCAACACAGGATCATTCCTCACATTTTCCTGCACTGCTGAATCCATTCTGCCTATATATGTCAGCCTAGCTCCTAGTCAGGTGGGGGCTGCAACATGTTGCCATACTTCCACTCCACAAGTATTTCCCCTGATATGTCCTTTTTTCTTTTTCAAAGATTTTATTTTTAAGTAATCTCTATGCCCAACATGGGGCTTGAACTTATGACCCTGAAATCAAGAGTCACATGCTTCTCCTACTGAGCCAGCCAGACACCTCTCCCTGGTATAAGTCTTAAGCAAAGAATACTATAAAAAAAATTTTTAAGTATTTTTTTTTAAGATTTTTTTTTTTTTTTTTTTGAGAGAGATTGAGCATGAGAGTGGGGTGAGGGGCAGAGAGAGAAGCGGACTCCCCACTGAGCAGGGAGCCCAATGCAGGACTCAATCCAGGGACTTTGGGATCATGACCTGAGCCAAAGGCAGACACTTAACCGACTGAGCCACCCAGGGGCCCTTTTAAGTATTCTTTATGAAACCAGTGAATAATTTTGAATCTTTTTCTCATCTTGTTAATGTTCTAGGGGCAGGTGAGGCATGTTTGTACTAACTCTGTTATATGGATGAGGAAGTTAAGGCACAGGGAGGCAGAGGGGCCCAAAGCCCATTCATAGAGCAAGTCAGTCATGTTCTTCTTTTTCTTTTCCTTTTTTTTTTTTTTTGAATTTTTTTTTTTTTTTTTTTTTGACAGAGACACAGCGAGAGGGAACACAAGCAGGGGGAGTGGGAGAGGGAGAACAGGCTTCCCGCGGAGCGGGAAGCCCAATGCTGGGCTCAATCCCAGGACCCTGGGATCATGACCTGAGCCGAAGGCAGATGCTTAATGACTGAGCCACCTGGGCACCCCTAGTCATGTTCTTCTGACTTGAGGCCCTACATGCTTGCCCAGATGACTTACTCTTTGGCTCCATTTTTCCCTGTGCATGTGTATTTCCTATTTAGAATTGAATCCTGAATTCAATTCGCTAAAAAGGTTAAAAGTTCCAGCAGCATATGGCTTATGGTAACTCTTCAGTGATTCAGTGCTTTCCAGAGCCTTCTGAGTACCAGTCCCCGGTCTAGGACTTCTGCCTAAAGATGAGCCAGCTCTGTGTAGGTGTTTGGCTGAAACAAGTGTCCATTCTCATTCACAGAAACATTCTCATTCACCTCGGTGTTTGCTAGAAGAAGTATGATCATGTTAGTCCTGGTTGCTGCCTTTGAGATTGTTTCAAGTGGTTGGGTGGGGAGACAGTGGCAGAGCCCATACTTTCCTTCTCTGGAGAAAGTTTGTTGAGGATGCCCTGGTGAGTAACTGAGATCCAGATGTCCCCCGGGGCCTTGATAGTCCTGGACAGTCATCATCCATGAGAAGCAAAACTACACAGTTCAGTCAGGAGGAGGGTTGGATTTGTGTAGCACTTTGGTACCTTAAGGTGAATGTTCACCATATTCTTGTTCTGTCAGCTAATCAGCATTGGATCTTCCTATAACTATGGAAATGAGGATCAGGCAGAATTCCTCTGTGTTGTCTCCAGAGAACTAAATAATTCTACCAATGGCATCGTCATAGAGCCCAGTGAAAAGGCAAAGGTAAGAAATTGCGTCACCAGAACTTTGTCTCTGACTCGTTTGTTTCCGGCCCCTCAAGGGGCTTTGTCTGAACCGTTCGTTGCTTGAGGTTTCTTCCCTTTCCTTCTGAAGCAAGCTTTGCATTTTGCCTTCATTTTGGTCTTTGACTGTTACAATTTGAATCAGGATTTATGGAGCAGAGACTGAGGGTTCTTAGTTAGGAAACGGGTACTGAAATAGGGTAGACTTACATACCCTTGTCAAATCAATGAAAAAATCTTATTGCCTCTAATTTCTACAACGTGAGAATTCTGAAACTCAAAACTGGAAAATATTTTGTGTTCATTCCTTGAAACTGTTCTCTTTTTTTTTTCCCCTGCCTCAAGAGAAAAGGTATTTGGTTACCTTTGTGACCTCCTCACCTTATGTAACTGGAAAACTATACGCTGTTCTCTCACAGGCTCATACGCTCACACCTGCACTCCTAAGTCAGCAGCACATGGTGTGTCTGAACCATTTCCTTTAGCGTCAACAGCATGTAATCTTGGGGCCCCACGGTGTTCAGCAAGAGTCTTTTACAACTGAAGTTCTTCAGGGGAGGTCGGGGCTGCAGCCCTGCCTTGCCTCTTGGTTTAACAAGGATTGTTGTGCTACTCACGAGGGTCCAGCGGAAAGCAGCCGTGGGTCTCTTTTCCCTCAGCAGTCTGCTTAGCAGCCTCAGCCTAAAAGGAAGTCTGCTGCAAAGTCTGAGCCTCAGCCCTCTCCCCGATCTTTCACTTGCAGATTCTTCAGGAGAGAGGATCTCGGATGTAAATTCCAGATCCTTAACCAACAGGAGAGCAACCCGGCAGAGCACCTCGTGAAGTTAAATCTTGCTCCTGTACAGTAACCGAGCTACTGCAAAGCAAAGCTGAGCCTGGCCCCCCAGTGGAGAAGTGTTCTGGTCAAAACCAAAGGAACCCCTGCCCCCACCCACAGGAACCTGAAGACAGATACGGCTCCCGGCTGCAGAATACCTTTTCAGAAACCTGCTTTTGTTCTCTTAGCCAGTGTTGTGACAAATCTTTATAACCGCAGCTGGGCTGGGTTCCCAGTTGGAGCCCTTATGGACATCTGGGGGAAGGGAAGAGGAAGGCTTAGCTCCTTGTACATGCCCATACTTCAGGGAAGCTGGAGCAAATGAAAGAGGATCGTCCCTGAGCTGTGCCATATTTTCACCTGAGTGCCACTTTGGACGTTGGCAGCTGCTTTGTAACACTATCTTTCCCCTTCTCTGCACCCCAAACTAATGCAGCAGATGCCAAGGATCGTGGCTTCAGTTTGTCAAATTGAATTGAGGTTTTGGATAAAGGATAGAGTTGCCAGAGTACCTCCACATTCCCGTGAACAAAACCTCTTTGAGGAAGGGGATGATGGGGTGTCCTTGGTTGTGGGGGGGGGTTGGGGATCGCCGCTCTGGGTTTGGGGCACTCAGCTGCTACCATGTTCATCCTTGCCTCATTTACTTACCTCCAGTAGCTTACTTTCTCCCCAAGAGGAGGTCTGGGGCAGGTGGCATCCTGCACTCTGTCACACAGACAGATGGGAGCTTCAGGTAGTTGGTCTGTAGCCTTCACTCACCCTCCGTTGGTCCATCTTCCTTCTCTGACTTTTTAAACTGGACCGAAGATAAAAGGGACTTAGGAACCTCTGATGGCTTGGGGTGGGGACAGCATTTCTTTGAAAGTTGCCAGATGTGTTATGTTGTAGTATCCAAAAGTGTTATTTTTGTGACTGTCTCTTGGAAATGCCTTGACTGAACATTCAGTATTTATTTGTGTCTCTTCTCGGTTTCTAACCTTAACAAACTTGCCTGACAGGTGTGTCAGTGACCCCACACCATCCCCAGTAGAGTGTATGTGTTTGCCGGGCAGTCCAAGGATGCCACCCCTTAGCATCACTTCCTTCTTCAGAGTGCCGTGTCATGGAGAATCAAATACTTGTTTGACCAAGGAGGGGAGTAAAGCCCTCCTTTGGGCTGGGATCACGGAGTTTGTAGCTGGATCTTCTCTCTGAGCTTTTGAGTCTTGGTGAGCAGTCATCGAATGCAAAGGGCCAGAGAATCCTTATTTTTCCCTAGATGACTTTCCTAGTGTGGCAGATGGCCCAGAGAAGGGGAAGGTGCCATGGGACCCTCCGTCTGTACAGCCACCTCGTGCCAGTCACTCCTGGCTTCCTCCGCAGCGGAGTGTCTATCTGCTCCACAGCTCAACTGCTTCCTACGTGGGTCTGGGGCTATAATTTTTGGAAATGACTTACAGGCTGTGCTAAGTGTCTTTTGCGCTTGTGACCTGCCCATGTGCAGATGGCGTAACTCTTCTTCAGGATTCTCGCTTTGACCTTACCTGTGTGTAGAGCAGGATAGAAATGTGTGCGCAGGGGTGTCTGCTGATATGTGAGCGTGCATGTGGGCGTCGGCACCTCAGAACTCTGGCCTGTGCCCACGATTTCTACAGCTGTAAAATGTTACAGGAACTTCTCCCTACGGAAAAGCAGTCACCTTTCAAAAAAGCCACAGATATCATCCTATCATCTTTCAGAAAAAATAAAAAGATTTGAGAGTGTCAAGGAAAAGCTGCTCTGACGAGAGTAAGACAGAGGACTTTGGAAGAGGTGCTCTTTGGCCAATTCAAACAAGTAACGTTTGACTCAAAAGAGGGAAAGCAGCCTCATTTGGAGCCTGAAGCCCAATCAGATTTGCTTCCCAGGGCATGCCTGGTGACGGCCGTGCCCCCCAGCCTGCACAAAGGAGTGTCAAGCAAGGTGGACCAGAGGGCAGAGGAGAGCGAGCCCCTCAGAAACACATGGTTACTCATTTCTCTTTTCAGAGTCCCACAGAGGATCCCGTAGAAAGGCTGCTGAGCCCCTTACTCAGCAGAGGAACAAACAGAGGTGACATTTCTGCTCTCCTAGAGGGCTGGCTTTCGTGAGGATTCCTTCCTCATGGCAGCCCAGTGCCAGTTCAGTGCTCCTGAATCTGAAGATGATTCATTTCCTAAGGTTTCTGGAAAAGTACTCACCCCAGCCCTTTATGAACCGAGTCAGTATTTTTTCCTGAAAGCCTTCTCCCCCTGAAAGAGTCTGGCTGATGACTTCGGAGAGAGGTCTTGCCATCGGTTTGGGGGTGTCACATGGCCAGTGACCCACATTCTCTCCAGCTGCCCAGTGCTGCCAGGTGGGAAGGGTCTTCCTTCCTTCATTCTGTGCTCAGGCCCGAGGCCACGGGCCATGCAGGCCCAGCTCACGAAGCAGCCTGGCCTCTTCTAGGAAACGCCACAATAGGGCGCTTCTGTCTTTCCCTCAGAACCTGCTTTCTCCTTGGCAGTGAGGCATGGCCCAACCTCCTCTAGAGCGACTTCGTTTCTGCAGTCTTAACTGATCTCAGGGGTGTCGGCGAGGTGTAGGGGAGGAAGGGACAGAGATGCTGGGGGGGAGGGGAGGCCCAGAGGACACCCACACCCTCCAGCATGGCCTTTGACCCAGAGGTTAGGGACCATGCCTGTCACTTGTAGGGGCCGTTTGTTACTGTTTGTGTATTTGAATAAAGTCTGAAATGCTGTGACCTTCTTTTGTCAATAAAGACATGAAACAAACCTCTGACTCACCTTGGTTTCCCATCACTCCTGATGATTCTCAAACTGTTCTCAGGAGATGAACTTCACTGTACCTTTCCTGCCAGGGCCTCTTATAAAGTCCTCATTTCTCCTGCTGCTGAAGCTGCCTGAGGGGGTGTTGGGCCTTCTTCCTCCTCAGGACCAGGAGAGAGGTGAGAAACAGGTGGGGACAGATGGGCTACCCACCAGAGAGTTGGGAAGGGGAAGAGTATGAGACCATTTTTAAGGGAAAAGAAGTCTTCCTGGAAGATTAAGTGGCTAGGTGCCCATTTTCTCTGCATGGTAGAGAATAAGGAATGAATGTGAGGTGAGACAAGTAACCAGCAAGCTAAGTATCGGTCACTGAAGGCACCAGGCAGGGTGTGGGACCCTCAGAAGGCATTAGATCGCCCCCTCCCATAGGGTGCTTACAGTTGGGGATACATCGTGTACATACAAACGTAGAAACAAGGTATGTGTTTGTATCAGCCAGGGTCCAGTGGAAGAGAGACCACAGCAGTTAACAGGTGGTAAGAAGAGGAAAGGGCCCCGAGGGACACTGAGGTGTCACAGATGTAGTGACTGCCGGACACAGTTATTGCTCCCAGGGCGGGGGAACAAAGGGAAGAGGTTGGGACTGTTAAAAGGTAGAGGCTTGCAGGAGGGCCCCGCAGAGGAGATGCTGCCATCTCAGGGGGCTCAGTGAGGCTGGTTCTAGGACCACACTACTCCTGCGACCTGCTGTGGCCGCCGGAGCGAAGCCATGTTTGTTGTGGTTTCTCTGGCAACAGGAAAGAGCATGTCCCTTTTTTGCCTCTAGCCTTGCAGTCTCCCTCTCACGTTCCCCATGGGTGAACCTGTCCTGGAACGAGCTGGTAAAGGGGAATTGTGCTTGGCAGCTTCCCAGCCCCAGGGGCACAGGGCAGAGTCTTGGGGGGGGGTTGGCGCTGGGAGGTAAGAACAGCCAGTTCTGCCACCTCTGGCCGCTTAGCATCCTATACGTGCTTCGATGTGTATTTGAATCTAAAACAGTAAAAACAATTTTATGCCTCTACATAACACGATACAGGTACTCTACACAAGGTGACCTTGCCCTCTCCCCAACAATGAAACAGTGCCAACACTCACTGTTCCCAGGTCTGAGAGACCGTGACATCTATTTCTGGGCTAGGTTAAATACTCAAATTGGCATGGTGGGTTAGACAACCCCTAGTTTGTGACCGGCAGTCCAGGCCACATGGTCACTTGATGTCCCATGGTTAGGTACCTGATTCTCAAAAGGAGAAGAGTTATCTGCAAAAGAAGGCATGGATATTTTCCAAAACCCTGGAGTTCTTCATGGTAATTCTCCAGTCAGGGACCACTGAAGTCTCCATACAGCATCAGCATTTGCAATAGATCATTTGACTGTTGCTGAATCTGCTCAGTCATAAAGCCGAGGTGATGGCCCAGAGCTAAATTTTTAATAAGAATCACACCACACAGATTTCCATCAAAGCTTTCCCTTAGAGTGAACTATAACTCCATTAAGCCAGTTTAATTCCTTGATGGGTTTTCTATACAGTACAATTAAATTGTCTCTGTTTTCTATTTTTGTTTTCATTTTTACTTTAAAATATTTTTATTAAGATCATTGTTTTCCATGAAATGTTACGATGGAAATTTAACTCAATCTAACTAATTCTAGTTCTTGCCCTTGCAAGCTGTAGCTTTTGCCCTTGTGGGCTTTCTTTTGTGGCTATTACCTCCTCCGTGTTTACTTTCCCCAAGTCAAGCTTGACAGCTCAAAATCTATGTCTCATATCTAAATGTATGTGTTTTTAGCTGATGTCATTTTTCTGTTAATGATTTCTAACAAAACAACATGGAGAGAATATTGTATTTTATATTTTAAGATTTTATTTGAGAGCGAGAGAGAAAGCGAGAGCACGAGCCGGTGGGAGGGGAAGCAGAGAGATAAGCAGACTCTCCACTGAGCAAGGAGCCCAACACAGGGCTCAATCCCAGGACCCCGAGATCATGACCTGAGCCGTAGTCAGATGCTTAGCCAACTGAGCCACCCAGGCACACACACCCCCCTTTTTAAGGGAAAATTTATCTAAACGGCTTTTTTTTTTTTTTTAAAGCAAGCTTTATGCCCAATGTGGGACTTGAACTCATGGACCCTGAGATCAACAGTTGCATGCTCTACTAACTGAGCCAGCCAGGTGCCCCAGGCTGTGTGTATGTCTTAGCTTTCCTCTAAGGAAATAGTGAGCAATATCCCTTAGATTATCCTCGATCATTCTTTATGTGCAAGGCTATGCCATTGCTTCTACTCACATTTCATTCTGATAACTTTGCACATGCGCCCTCTACACAGTTGGCAAATCAAAGAGTACAACATCCTCAAAATATGTCCTGCTTTGTTAAATTGTGATGGATAGCCAATAAGTACATATTTGAAAAAGGAGGATTGGAAGGCTTCTTGAACTAGACCCTGAGGTTGGAGAAGGTGCAGGAAGTTCGTTGGCAGAAGGATAGTTTATACCCTGCGGCTAGTATTAGTTCTGTCACCTCTATCACAGGTCTAGAGTAGACATCCACTTATTTGCTGCCATTTTCTGCACAGCCACTGCATGCCCAGAACTGCAGTAGGCACTGATGACCAAAGCTGAGTCATGGAGGCCTGCAGAACACGGAGTGAGAGCAAAAACTGCTGGAGGCAGGGAGGAAATAACCAAGCCACTGCTCTAATGGCTGGGGACAGTCTTCAGAACCTGGGCAGAGGCAGATGGATGAAAATCCCGAGCTGGAATCAAGCTCCATTGAGATACTTAGAAAGCATCCTTGCATTCAAGAATCACTACCAAATCCTGGGGTGCCTGGGTGGCTCAGTTGGTTAAGTGTCCGACTCTTGATCTCAGCTCAGGTCTTGATCTCAGGATCATAAGTTCAAGCCTGGCACTGGGCTCCACACTGGGCGTGGAGCCTACTTTTAAACAGTGAGGGAGGGGTGGCGCTGGGTGGCTCAGTCAGTTAAGTGTCTGTCTCTGGCTCAGGTCATGAGTCCAGCCAGGGTCCTGGGATTGAGCCCCACATTGGGCTCTCTGCTCAGTGGGGAGTCTGCTTCTCCCTCTCCTGCTCCCCCTGCTTGTGTTCACTCTCTCAAATAAATAAAATCTTAAAAAAAAAAAAAATCACTACAAATCCTAAGCAGGAGAAATAAAAACACACATAATGAAACTGATGAAAACAAATATGGAGAAAATCTTAAAAGCCACCAAAAGCAGAGAGGAAAGTTACTTGCAAAGGAGGGACAATAAGACTTATAGCCAACTCTCAACAGAAAAATATAAAACAGGGAGCCTGGGTGGCTCAGTTGGTTAAGTGACGCCTTTGGCTCAGGTCCTGATTCTGGAGTCCTGGGATCGAGCCCCGCATCAGACTCCCTGACTCTCACCCCTCTCATGCTCTCTATCATTCTCTCTTTCTCAATAAATAAATAAAAACCTTTAAAAAGAAAAATATAAACCAGAACACAGTGGAATTAAATCTCCTAAGTGCTGAAAGACAATAGCTGCCAACCTAGAATTCTATACCCAGCGAAAATACACTTCAATATTGAAGATGATATAAAGGCATCTTTGACAACCAAAACATGAGAGTATTTGTCACCTGCAGACCTTGTATTAAAGGAAATATTAAAAGGTGTTCTTCAGGGGGTACCTGGCTGGCTCAGTCAGAAGAGCATGTGACTCTTGATCTCAGAATTGTGAGTTCAATGGCACAAAAACAGACACATAGTTCAATGGAACAGAATAGAGAGCCCAGAAATGGACCCTCAACTCTATGGTCAACTAATCTTCGACAAAGCAGGAAAGAATATCCAATGGAAAAAAAGACAGTCTCTTCAACAAATGGTGTTGGGAAAATTGGACAGCCAGAAGAATGAAACTGGACCATTTCCTTACACCGTACACAAAAACAGACTCAAAATGAATGAAAGACGTGAATGTGAGACAGAAATCCATCAAAATCCTGGAGGAGAAGGCAGGCAGCAACCTCTTCCACCTCAGCGCAGCAACTTCTTCCTAGACACGTAGCCAAAGGCAAGGGAATGCAAGGGCAAAAATGAACTGTTGGGACTTCATCAAGATAAAAAGCTTTTGCACAACAAAGGAAACAGTCAACAAAAACAAAAGACAACCGACAGAATGGGAGAAGATATTCGCAAAAGACATATCAGATAAAGGGCTAGTATCCAAAATCTATAAAGAACTTATCAAACTCAACACCCAAGGAACAAATAATCCAATCAAGAAATGGGCAGAAGACATGAACAGACATTTCTGCAAATGGCCAACAGACACATGAAAAAGTGCTCAACATCACTCGGCATCAGGGAAATCAAAATCAAAACCTCAATGAGATAACACCTCACACCAGTCAGAGTGGCTAAAATTAACAAGTCAGGGAACGACAGATGTTGGCGAGGATGCGGAGAAAGGGGAACCCTCCCACACTGTTGGTGGGAATGGAAGCTGGTGCAGCCACTCTGGAAAACAGTATGGAGGTTCCTCAAAAAGTTGAAAATAGAGCTACCCTACGACCCAGCCCAATGCAATTGCACTACTGGGTATTTACCCCAAAGATACAAATGTAGTAGTTCGAAGGGGCACCTGCACCCCAATGTTTATAGCAGCAATGTCCACAACAGCCACGGTATGGAAAGAGCCTAGATGTCCATCGACAGATGAATGGATAAAGAAGATGTGGTATATGTATATGATGGAATATTATGCAGCCATCAAAAATGATATCTTGCCATTTGCAACAATGTGGATAGAACTAGAGGGTATTATGCTAAGCAAAATAAGTCAATCAGAGAAAGACACAAGTATCATATGATCTCACTGATATGAGGAATTTGAGAAACAAGACAGAGGATCAGAGGGGAAGGGAGGGAAAAATGAAACAAGACAAAACCAGAGAGGGAGAAACAAACTGAAGGTTGCTGTAGTGGAGGGGGGTGGGAGGGATGGGGTGGCTGGGTGGTGGACATTGGGGAAGGTATGTACTATGGTGAGCGCTGTGTATTGTGTAAGACTGATGAATCACAGACCTCTACCCCTGAAACAAATAATACATTATATTAATTAAAAAAAAAAAAAGAATTGTGAGTTTGAGCCCCACGTCAGGTATAGAGATTACTTTAAAAATTTTTTTAAATAAAAAATAAAGTATGGGACTTTATCATTCCCAAAACGCAATTAAAAAGGGGGGGCGCCTGGGTGGCTCCCTGCTTGGTGGAAAGTCTGCTTCTCCCTCTCCCTCTACCCCTGCCTCCTGCTTGTGCTCACTCTCTCTCTCGAATAAGAAATAAAATATTTTTTAAAAAGTAATGCTTTATATTAGACTTTGATAAGCCATGATGCATGTTATAATTTCTCAGGTAACTACTCAAAAAATAATAATTAAAGAAGTATAGGGGTGCCTGCGTGGCTTAGTCAGTTAAGCATCTGCCTTCAGCTCAGGTCATGATCTCAGGGTCCTGGGATTGAGCCCTGCATTAGGCTCTCTGCTCAGCAGGGAGTCTGCTTCTCCCTCTCCCTCTACCTCTTCCCCCCTGCTTGTGTGTGTGCTCTCTCTCATACAAATAAATAAATAAAATCTTTTTTAAAAATAACAAATAAATAAATAAATAAGTATAACCACCAGGGCGCCTGGCTGGCTTAGTCGGTTAGAGCATGTGGCTCTAGATATTGGGGTAGTGAGTTCGAGCCCACACTGGATATAGAGCTTACAAAAAAAGGGGGGGGGGGATAGATTTTAAAAAAAGTATAGCCACCAAGATAATAGAGAAGGAGGAGGAAATTGAATAATAAAAAATCAGTAGTGGTAAAACTACAATTCACCAGGAAAACAATGATTATAAATTTGTGTACATCTAATGATCTAGCCTCAAAACTAATGGAAGTAAAAGGAGAAATAAGCAGGGCACCCGGGTGGTTCAGTCAATTGAGTGTCTGACTCGGTTTCAGCTCAGGTCATGATTCCCAGGTCCTGGGATCGAGCCCTGCACTCGGCCCAGTCTGCTTCTCCCTCCTCTCCCTGCTCCTCCCTGCCCCCACCCCCGTTCTCTCTCTCTAATATAAATAAATCTAAAAATAGTAATTAAAAAGGGGAAAATGTATTAACAAAGGCTAAAAATTGTTATATAAACATCTCAGGAACTTAGAACAGCAAATTCAACCCAAGAAAGCAACAGAAAGGAAATAATATAGAGAAGAGCAGAAATCAATGAAATGGAAAACAAACACATAATACAAATCTCAAAACGAAGAGCTGATTCTTTGAAAAGATTAAAGAATGGATAAACTCCTAGTGTTGAGACTTATCAAGAAGAAAAAATACAAATGATATCTGGAATATAAAAAGGGGACACAAATACAGATCCTACAGTCTTTATAAGGATTATAAGTACCTTATATAAGGTATATACCCAAAGGAATTGAAAGCAGGGACTCAAGATATCTATTAACCCATGTTCTAGCATTATTCATGATAGCCAAAAGGGAGAAGCAACCCAAGTGTCCATCAACAAATGAGCAAACAGAATGTGGTATAGTGGAATATTATCCAGCCATAAACAGGAATTCTGATACATGCTATAACATGAACCTTGAAAACATTAAGTGAAATAAGACTCAAAAGGACAACTATCATATGATTTCACTCATATAAAATAGGCAAATTCATAGAGATAGAAAGATTAGAAGTTATTAAGGGCAGGAAGGGGAGGGGACAGTGGAATTATTGCTTAAGGGTTACAAAGTTTCTGTTAAAGGTGATGAAAAAGTTTTGGATATAAATCACTATGATTATATCACTATTTATAGATCACTACATAATGATTGTTTAACATTGTGAATATACTTAATACCACTGAATTGTATATAAAAATGATTAAAATGCAAATTTTATATTAGGTTAATAATTATAAGTGGATGTTATAAACAACTTTATACCAAAAGAATTTGAAAATTTAGATAAAATGGACAAATTCCCAGGAAAACACCATTTACCAAAATTGATACAAGAACAAACAGACAATATGAATAATTCTAAATCTCTGAAAGAAGTTGAGTATGTAATTAATAACCCTTCCACATCCGGGGACAGCATCCATAGGCATTCAGAATGGTCCAGCATTTGACCTGCTGTCATAGGTTGTCCTACGATACAGCCTCTAACAAAACTAGGCTGTCCGAAACCCCTGATAATAGAATCGTTTACCTTTATACCAAGAAGGTTGGGAAATCACCCAAATCTGCATGTGGTGTGGGCCCAGGGCGACTTCAAGGAGTTCGTGCTATGAGACCTAAAGTCCTTACGAGGTTGTCTAAAATGAAAAAACAGGGGCGCCTGGGTGGCTCCATCATTAAGTGTCTGCCTTCGGCTCAGGTCATGATCCCAAGGGTCCTGGGATCGAGGCCCCACGTCGGGCTCTCTGCTCAGTGGGAAGCCTGCTTCTCCCTCTCCCACTCCCCCTGCTTGTGTTCCCTCTCTCTCTGTGTCTCTCTGTCAAATTAATTAATTAATTAATTAATTAATTGAATTAAATTAAATGAAAAAACACATGGTGGTTCCATGTGTGCTAAGTGTGTTCATGACAGGACCAAGTGTGCTTTCCTTATCAAGGAGCAGAAAATCATTGTGAAAGTGTCGAAGGCACAAGCAGAGTCAGAAAGCTAAATAAACAATGAAGTTTTTTTGAGTAATAAAAAAAATCAGAAGGCTTAAAAAAAAAACAACCCTTCCACAAAAAACACTCGGGGCCTAGGCGGCTTTACCACTGAATACTGCCAAACATTTAAGGAAGAAATAATATCAATCTTACTCTTCCAAATAAGCGATAAAGAGCACTCCTGAACTCATTTTATGAAGCTACCATACCTTAATACCAAAACTTGACAAGGACATTACATAAAAGGAAAATTCCAGGCCAATTTCATTCATGAACATAGATGCAAAAATCCTATGACAATATTAACAAGTTGAATCCAGCATATATAAAAAGCATAACACATCATGACCAAGTAGAGTTCATTCCAGAACACAAGGTTGGTTAAGAATGAAAATAAGTAAATACAGAATTGCCACATTCACAGAATAAAAGAGGCAATGCTTACGATCATTTCAAAAGATGCAGAAGAAGAATTAGATAAAAGTCAACATCCATTCCAGATAAAAACTCTTAGCAAACCAGGAAGGAAAAGGAGTCTACATAATCTGATACAGTTATCTACAATAAACCTATAGCAAACATCATATTTAATGAAGAAATGTTGAAAATTTTTCCTCAAGGGGCGCCTGGGTGGCTCAGTCGTTAAGCATCTGCCTTCGGCTCAGGTCATGATCCCAGGGTCCTGGGATCGAGCCCCACATCGGGCTCCCTGTTCGGCGGGGAGTCTGCTTCTCCCTCTCCCACTCCCCCTGCTTGTGTTCCCTCTCTCGCTGTGTCTCTCTCTGTCAAATAAATAAATAAAAAATCTTAAAAAAAAAAAAAAAAAGAAAGAAAATTTTTCCTCTGAGATGGGGAAATGAGAAAGGGATGCCTTCTATTTACCTTTTCTATACAACAAACAGGGCCGCGCTAACCTATTGGAGCAAGACAGTGATATACTGCAAGCTTTTCAGGGCATTTATCCTGTTGGGTGGGGGAGAATGGGAAACAGAAACCTTTAACAAAGAAGCAATTATAGAGCAATGAGAATCTCTCTTCTGCTTCGCTCATCCCTTTTTTTCTTCTGAGGATCAGAACCAGAGTGGAAGCAACAGTTTTTAGGATCACCAGTCAGATAATGTTGATCATTCAACTTTAGACCAAGAAGGGGCCTTGAAATATCATCTCCTATAACAACCCTGTCGATTCACAAGAAAAGAACCATGATCCAGAGAGTTGTCCAAGATCTGACTGCCACTTAGATGCCATTTTCCTCTCTGGTTGGTAATGTGAGTCCCTTAGGTCCAATGCATGAAGCCCCAGGTGCAACAGCGACTTCACCCCCTGGGGTGAAGACTGGAGTAAAGCATCACCCATGGAGAGTCCGAGCGTGTCCAGTGGCGCACCTTTTGCCCTGCTGACATCACAAGCAGAATGCTGGGGCTGGTCATACTTGAACTGTGATGTCAGGGAACAAAGCTGGGGGAAATCTTTGAGGAGGGGGGCCAACTTGATAGGGAGATCACGAAAACAGCCGCCAAAGGGAAAGGTACGAAGGCGGCCATCGGATCCCAAGAGATGGAGAGGGCTGGGGTGGGGGCACACAGGACCCTCCCAACAGCTGGTGAAGTGGGACCAGGGCAAGACACCTGCACCTGAGTGCCTGGGGGTTCTATTCTCTCCCATCCCAGGGCAGCCGAGCCTCTAGCCCTCCCTGACATGCAGAAGGTTTCACGTAAGTACTTGTGCTTCCTACCTTTCTTCTGAAGGGCCAGAGAAGTGGCTCCTTTCCCTGACATTGATGTGACTTCTTTCTGCCATCCGCTGGCTTGTCCAAGATGTGTTGCAGGAGTTAGGGTTGGGACACGGAGAACACAATCCCCATGTCATGCCCCCCGTGTGGGCTGATGGATGACACAGTCTCTGTACCCCATGGGCAGACAGCTGCTTGTATGGGAAGGACTGGTGTACCCCTGAAAGGCCCCTCGGCTCCTGCTGTGGCTTCTTCATGGCTCTGCTCTATCTTCTCAGGGCTATCCCAGAACCACAACCCAGCCCTGCAGCCCCCTGCCCAGCCCTCGAGACCTCCCCAAACCCAGCTCCTGATGAGTAACAGCAGTCTCCGCACATTCGAGGACCAAGTCCTCTGTCCCATTTGCCTGGAGGTGTTCCGCAACCCGGTCACCACCGCCTGCGGGCACAACTTCTGCATGACCTGCCTCCAAGGTTTCTGGGACCACCAGGCCTCCGTGGGCAAGACCCTCTACTGCCCCCAGTGCCGAGAGAGCTTCCCCTCCAGACCGCGCCTCTGCAAGAATGGCATCCTGGAGGAGATGGTGACCTGCTTCACCCAGGCCAAGGGCCAGACCTTGGGATCCTCCCGGATCCTGGCGGGGCCCGGGGACGTGCCCTGCGACTTCTGTTCTCCGCAGAAGCTCAAGTCAGTCAAGTCCTGTCTGCAGTGCATGGCCTCCCTGTGCGAGAAGCACCTGCTCAGCCACTTTGAGGACCAGGCGTTCTGGGACCACCAGCTGCTGGAGCCCGTGTGGGACCTCCAGAGCCGCGTGTGCCGGAAGCACCGCAAGCTGCGGGCCCTGTACTGCCGCACGGAAGGCTGCTGTGTGTGCGGGGCCTGCCTGCTGGAGGAGCACAAGAACCACGACACGCTCCCCCTGGAGGAGGAGCGGGCCCGCAAGGAGGTGAGGCGGGGGGACCCCGGACCTCACGGCTCTGAGGCTCTCACGGAGGGTAACTGTCTTCACAAGCCAGGGCACACCGGTCCTTGGGGGGCAGTTACACAACCATCCAAGTGATGGTCATGGGGGCGGACGCGCCACGACATGAGAAAGGGTTGGCGCGTTCGATGAGCGAGGGCCCCGAGTTGTATGTACAAGTTGTAGGTTCTTTGGTTGTTGTTGTTTTTGCACAGCAAAAGGAAAGTCTGAGAGAAAACCTGTCGTGTCAGGTGGGGCATATCCCCTCCTTTTCTCTACTTTTTTTTTTTTTTAAAGATTTTATTTATTTATTTGAGAGAGAGAGAGAGCGCACATGAGAGTGAGGAAGGTCAGAGGGAGAAGCAGACTCCCTGCCGAGCAGGGAGCCCGATGCGGGACTCGATGCGGGACTCGATCCAGGGACTCCAGGATCATGACCTGAGCCGAAGACAGTCGCTTAACCAACTGAGCCACCCAGGCGCCCTCCTTTTCTCTACTTTCAACTTTTGTTTAATATAGTTGTACTGCTTTTTCGAGGGGAACACTTAGATTTCAGACATTCCCTCACATGTATTCAGTACAAGTGCTCTTCCCACACAGCCACCCAGGAATGGTCCACGGCCAGGAGGCCCGGCTGGAATGTAAACCCATTCACCACCCTGTTGAGCTCAGCTGACACTTTTTCCATAGCAAGACTTGGTCAACAAAGCAAGCAGTGTGTTGATTTATAGTCTGGCTTGAGCTTCTTAACTTTTTTTTTTTTTTTAAAGATTTTATTTATTTGACAGAGAGAGACACAGCGAGAGAGGGAACACAAGCAGGGGGAGCGGGAGAGGGAGAAGCAGGCTTCCCGCTGAGCAGGGAGCCCGATGCGGGGCTCGATCCCAGGACCCTGGGATCATGACCTGAGCCGAAGGCAGGCGCTTAACGACTGAGCCACCCAGGCGCCCCTTGAGCTTCTTAACTTGACAGTGCATCAGCAACAGTTCCTGGACAGGCACTTGGAACTGCACAGTTCTGTCATCTGTTATAAACAAGAACGTGCCCGTTGCTGGAACGGGTGGAGACCGAAGGCTTCTCTGTAGAGGGACTTGGGACACAGGGCTGCCTGGGCCAGGCAGGGCCACCCCCAGCAAGGTATCTCCGGGGCTCCATATCTGATAAGTCCCTCCTCGACCCACTGCTGCCTCTCAAGCCCCTGAACCCTCCACAGCCCCTTTCTGTAACCTGAGACCCGGTGGTCGTCACTGTCAGGAGCAGAGAACCTGAGTCCTAAGAATGGGGAGAGAGTCTCAGGGAGTAAGAGACCACAAGCAGAGGGTAGACCCCAGGGCCATCTGCCCTTCAGCTCTGGTCTCTCTCATGTAGGCATCTTAGGAATGTTAAGAGGTATGTCTCCTCTGGGCTTGTAGAAGGGCTTCTCGGAGGCCACCTCTCCAAATCAGGGCCCTCTCCTCCTCCCTCTCGCTCCCAGGTGGAGGTTCGGAAGGTCCAGGCCAGTGTGGAAAACCAGATGCTGATCATCAACTCTGACAGCCAGAAGCACCGAGGGCAGGTGGCCTTTCTCTCGGTAAGGCTGGCCCGCCCTCTCCCAGTCCCCGGCTTCCCCACAGTGCCCTGCATCAGGCTGAGGGCCACTCTAAGGCCTTGGCATGGATGTCGTGTAGCCCGGCAGTCAGCAACAGGATGCCGAGGCACGCTCCAGGCCATAAGACTAGGGGTACCCGGCTGGGGCTCAGAGATGCCTCTCGACACACCGTCCGCCCCACCCCCCCCACAGAAACTGATCCAGACAACACGTGAGGAGGTGAACACCTGCTTCTCAGAGATCATCCAGGAGGTCAGACAGCTGCAGATGAAGGTCTTGGATTTTGTGGAAAAAGAGGAGGCCACCGCTCTGGGGAAGCTAGGCAGCTCCATCCAGCAGAGCCACAACCGGCTCCTGAAGCTGGAGGGGGACAGCATCTGGCTCCGCACCCTGCTTGCCAACAGGAGTGACCAGCAGTTTCTGCAGGTGAGGCCCCACCCACCTCTGTCTCTGCCCCAGGCCCTGATCCAGCCTCTGTCCCCCCTCCACCTGCAGGTGCACCAGATCTGCCCAGACCTAGGATTAAGTGATCAGCATTTGGGGCTGCATCTCTTTGTCCATTCTTCGGCCTCTGGGAGGCTCCCCATCCCAGGCCATAGGTCCTGAGCTTACACCAACCCACTTGGCTTCTTCCTCCACCTCAGCACTCAGCCTTACCCTAACTTTCCTGCCTTCATTTCCCTGGAACAGAAGGGAGTGGACCCTGGGATTCCAAGTATCTGCCACAGTCTATATGTTTCTCCAGACTAGCCCAGGCCAGGGATGGAAGCGAGACCAGAACAATCCATATAGCCTGGAACGAAATCCCTTTTCCTTCCCCAGCCCTGGTCTGGTCCCCAGCCCGTTGCTGCTACAAGAGGGTAGCAGGCAGGGTCGCCAGCAGAGGTTTGGGTGACAGCGGGACCCAGGGCTACCCAAACCCCGTGCTGGGGAACTCTGGACTCAGCACAGACCTCCTTTCTTCAGCTGGTATCACGTGCCCGGGAGCAGATTTCTAATTTCTAGAGCTGTTGCTCACCGTGTCCAGCCGCGCCCCGCCCCCCCCCCCCACCCCTGGCCCTGACACACACACCAGGAAATATTTGGCAAGGTTTTTCTTTTCTTTTTTTTTTTTAAGATTTTATTTATTTATTTGACAGAGACACAGCGAGAGAGGGAACACAAGCAGGGGGAGAGGGAGAGGGAGAAGTAGGCCTCCTGCCGAGCAGGGAGCCCGATGCGGGGCTCCATCCCAGGACCCTGGAACCATGACCTGAGCCGAAGGCAGATGCTTAACGACTGAGCCACCCAGGCGCCCCAAGGTTTTTCACTAAGCGATTAAAAGCTCAAAAGAAATCCTCTTCCCATTGTTTTCTCATACACTTTGCTTGATGCACTAGGCCAGAGCGGCCACGCTTTTGGCAAAGCCCTCATCTAAGACCTCACAACCAGCAGGAAGGGAGAGAGATGTCCAGGTTTGAAAACGAGCCATTTCTCCACCTGCCCGTGATTCTGGGGACCCCGGAGCCCCTAGCATAAGCGGGAGCTCCTGGCATCCGCCTGGGCCCTGGCTCACAGGTGGTACCGCGGGCCGCTCCCTGCCTTCAGGAGTTCCCCAGGCTGAAGCACTTCCCTGCCTACGTGGAACCCCTGATGGGAACCAACTGTGAGGAGAAGCAGACCTTCCTCCAGTTGCCAGAGACCCTGGCGGAGCTCCGCAGCCGGCTGATGGATGTGGGTCTCAGCTTCATCAATCAGCTCCTCCTGAAGGGTCAGTACCGGGCAGCCCGGGGCCACGGGAGACTCACCTGCATTCGGGGGGTGGGACTGCCCCACTGCCCTGTAGGGCTCGGCAGAGAGCCCTGCCTGCCCCTGTGCACCTTCCCCCGGTGGCGCAGCCTCCTGGAAGCCCATGCCTCTCTCCGGAAGGACCCTGGGCTCTAAGAGTGTCCTCAGCAAAGCCCCTCCATCTCCCCCAGGCATTAAGATGAACTCCTATGAGGTGCTGCCGCCAGCTGTGGACAGAAAAACACTTCTCAAGTGTGAGTCCTCCGTGCTGGGGTCCAGAACAATGGGTGGGAAAGAAAGGAGCAGCCTCCCCCACGGGGGGGGGGGGGGGGGGGGGGGCGCGCATTGTCTTCCCCAGCCCCGCCTGCATTCAGACCAGGGCTCCAGAGAGATGCCAGCTCTCTGACCTCCCACTGGCGACTGATCTCAGAAGGACTCAGCCTGTGACTCCATGGCCCTGATAGGGAGGGGAGGACTATGCTGTCCTCCCCATGGGTGGGGCAAGGACCTGCCTATGGCCCAGCTGCTGGTTCTGCCATCCTCCCTGGCTCTGGTGGGGCACAACCTCTGCCCTCAGTTCGGTGCCTGCCAGTATCCCCCCCACCCCCCCACCCCCCCCCCCACACACCCCGGGCTTTAACCAAGCCAGCTGGGATGACACTGTCCATTTCTTCCTCAGACAGTCTCCCTTTTCCTTTGATGCTTCCGCAGCCCCTCTCCGGGGCAGGGCTGGGAGGCACATCTCAGTGACTTCTCTGAGATATGGGGGGTCTCTCTGGTGAATCCCTGAGTCACCTCCTCCAGGAGCCCTGGACCTTCCCTCAATCCCGTTCAGTCTCCCGTCCTCAGCCCCGGGGGCGCTCACCCTGGCTCCGGTGCACGTCCCCTCCCCCCAGGTTACTGCAACCTGAACTTTGACCCCACCACGGCCAGCGAGGAGCTGTTCCTGTTCAAGGAGACGCACTCGGTGCTGAACCTGGGCATCCTGCTGGAGCCCCTCGCCGCGGGCGGCCCCTTCCCCGGCTTCACGCAGTGGCCGCAGGTGCTGTGCTCGCGCGGCCTGTCCGAGGGCCGCCACTACTGGGAGGCCGACGTGTCCAACTCGTGGGTGTGCCTGGGCCTCACCTACCGCCGCAGCCCCCCGCTCGGCGGCCGCCCGCGCCGCAACGTCGTCCACCTGCTGGGCCGCAACCCCTACTCGTGGTGCCTGGAGTGGGACTCGCTCAGGTTCTCCGTGTGGCACAACAACACGCAGACGGTGCTGCACGGCGGCTACCAGCGCACGCTCGGCGTGGCGCTCGACTGCGGCGCCGGCTGCCTCTCCTTCTACCGCGTGGCGGGCGGCGTGAGCCTGCTCTACCGCTTCCTCGGCCCCTTCCTGGAGCCGCTCTACCCCGCGGTCATGGTCAGCAGCGGCGCCTCGGTCACGCTCAAGCAGCACCCGGAGGGGGGCGTAGGCCGCGGTCAATAAAGCTGGACTCGAGCGCTGGCTGGGCCCGCGGGGAGGGGCGCCGGGGGGCGGGGAGGGGCGCCGGGGGGCGGCGAGGGGCGCCGGGGGCGGCGAGGGGCGCCGGGGGCGGCGAGGGGCGCCGGGGGCGGCGAGGGGCGCCGGGAGCGGGTGCCGCCGGAGGTCCCGGCCCCGGGTTGGAGGCGGAGGGCGGCCCACCGGCCTCCCGACCCGCGGCCCCGGACGTCCCGGGAATCCCAGGAAACAGGCAGACCCCTCCGTTCCCGCAGCCCCAGGAGAAGGGCTCTGAGACAGGCTGGAGCTCCCCCGGGACTGGGGACAGTCCGATGGCCTCCGGAGGGCAGATTCTTTTTTTTTTTTTTTTTAAGATTTTATTTATTTATTTGCGAGAGAGAGAATGAGAGACAGAGAGCATGAGAGGGAGGAGGGTCAGAGGGAGAAGCAGACTCCCCGCCGAGCAGGGAGCCCGATGCGGGACTCGATCCTGGGACTCCAGGATCATGACCTGAGCCGAAGGCAGTCGCTTAACCAACTGAGCCACCCAGGCGCCCCGGAGGGCAGATTCTTGACCCGGGTGCACAGTCTCCCCCACCGTGGCGACCGCCCTCCTAAGCCCCATAGAGGCCCCTGGTCTTGGTTCTCCAGGCTGGTCCCGGCACCGCAGCATCAGGGGCCCAGGGACGTGTTCCCGAAGGCCCTGTGGCCTGAGCGGGCGGGGCTTGGAGCCGACGGCTTCTCTGCGCTCCTCCCCCGCAGGTGACCTGGCTGAGAGTGGCACCTAACCGATGGTTTGGGGGGCGGGGGGGTCTGTCCCAGTTGCTTAATTGGGGGCTGGGAGGTTAAAGGCGAGGAACCCAGGCTGATCTCAGGCCCAAAGAAAGGCTGAGGGCTTACTGACCAGAGCAGAGCGTCGCATACACCTGCTGTTCCAACATCTGGAGCAGATGTGAAACTGAAGCTGTCCACTCCACCCTCCTCTGTGTGGCTGGAAGCTGTTTGCCCCAGCCTTCGGCCCACCCCCCTCCACTCTCCTAACATGTCGCACTGCCCAAAAGCAAAGGGGCTGCTTCCCCACCCAGGCCTCTGCCATCCCACCTGCCCGGTCAGCGTGTGCGGAAGTCGGCCCGCGAGGCTGGATCCCGGCCAGGTTCCTGCCTCGCCACCGCAGGAGCGTGCCTGGGGACTCAGCCCATCCGGGGAAGCCACCTCAGCATTTCCAGCCTCAACCAGCCACTTGTTCCTACGGTTTCTCTGCGGGAGCTCTCAGGTTAATGATTGACTCTGAAGAGGAACTGCTACAAGTCCTGGGAGAAAAGCCCTCGGGCAACGTGGTCCAGAACCAGGCCAAACAGCGCCCGGCCCCACGGGTGTGCCTGAATTCCATCCCCGCCTGGCCTGTTGGAAGAGAAATTAGTGACCCTAGTTTCCCATCAGGAGAGGTCATTTTAGGGCCAGGATGGGGCCAGACCGGAATCAGGTGTAGGGGGTACTCTCAAGGTCTCTGAGGGTGGGGCACCCTCAAGCAAACTGTGGCTGGGATTTCTTGCTGACCTTCCTTTCTGGAGTCTTCACTCTTGTTCCCCATGAGCTGTTCCCCATGCTGATAGGTAGGAATGAAATGTAAACTTTTCCCCGTGTTCAGGAGAGGTCTTTCACACCCAAATGCCTACATCTTGGCTCCCCACCCCCAGCCCCTGCAATCTTCATTCTTCCTCGGATGAGGTCAAGAAGTGCTGAGGAGGCGAAGGTAAGGTACAAGGAGACAGCAGGGGTCTGCTCTGACTAGCCGAATGGATCTCCAAGTCTTTCCCCATCTCCTTGCAAGGAGACAGCTACCCTTGCCAGCTCTTCATGGGGTGCTGTGTGATGCTGGAAACCATCCTGACACCTTCGGGCACATGTTGGTGTGAAATCCACATCTGAACTAATAGGGGCATTTGCTTTCCTAAACAGCTCTTTCTTTGCAGTTCCTAGGCCACTAGGAATTCACAATGATAGTCCTGGGGGTCCTCAAATGCTTTTTATTTCACAAAGCCAAATGGCAAGCAGGCCTGCACATCAGGGAGGCTAGCCAGCAGACCAAAATGTCAATATTTTCTGCTCATGGCTCAGCATGTGCCTCATGGCAGAAATATGCTAGAGGGGTCCTCCCCAGTGCCAGATCAGCCAGTGCTCTTGGATAATCCATGTCTGTGAACCCTACCCTTTCCCTTTCCCCCACTGTGGAGACACCAGGGAAGGGACTGTCCCTAGAACGCCACCCACACACTTCTCATGCCTGCCTTCTCCTGCCTTAGCACTCAAATATTTTTTTATTGTGAATCTGAATAGGCTGTAAACTAGTCTGTCACCAAGGATTATTTCGCTTTAAAAATGTCCGTGTGGGATAAGTCAAACAGAGAAAGACATGTATCATATGATTTCACTGATATGAGGAATTCTTAATTGCAGGAAACAAACAGGGTTGCTGGAGTGGGGGGTGGGGTGGGAGGGATGGGGTGACTGGGTGATAGACACTGGGGAGGGTATGTGCTCTGGTAAGCGCTGTGAATTGTGCAAGACTGTTGAATCTCAGATCTGTACCTCTGAAACAAATAATGCAATATATGTTAAGAAAAAAAAAAAGAAGAAGAAGGTAGCGGGAGGGGAAGAATGAAGCGGGGGGAAATCGGAGGGGTAGACGAACCATGAGAGACGATGGACTCTGAAAAACAAACAGGGTTCTAGAGGGGAGGGGGGTGGGAGGATGGGTTAGCCTGGTGATGGGTATTGAGGAGGGCACATTCTGCATGGAGCACTGGGTGTTATGCACAAACAATGAATCATGGAACACTTCATCTAAAATTAATGATGTAATGTATGGGGATTAACATAAGAATAAAAAAATTTAGGGGCGCCTGGGTGGCTCAGTTGGTTAAGCGACTGCCTTCGGCTCAAGTCATGATCCTGGAGTCCCGGGATTGAGTCCCACATCGGGCTCCCTGCTCGGCAGGGAGTCTGCTTCTCCCTCTGACCCTCCCCCCTCTCATGTGTTCTCTCTCATTCTCTCTCTCTCAAATAAATAAATAAATAAATCTTTTTAAAAAAAAAATGTCCATGTGGGGGCGCCTGGCTGGCTCAGTCGTTAGGCGTCTGCCTTCGGCTCTCCTCGCGGTCCCGGGGTCCTGGGATCAAGCCCCACATCGGGCTCCCTGCTCAGCAGGAAGCCTGCTTCTCCCTCTCCTACTCCCCCTGCTTGTGTTCCCTCTCTCGCTGTGTCTTTCTCTGTCAAATAAAATATTAAAAAAAAAGAAAAGAAAACTTACAATACTATATACTTTCAAAATGCAAAAAGAAAAGTTATTCAAAATGCAAAAATGACTTGTTCACTGGCTGCATAACATTACATTCTACAAATCTACATTCTACAAATTCTACAAGTCCTATAGCTTTGGTGTATGTTTTGTTTGTTTGTTTAATCTCTACACCCAACGTGGGGCTCAAACTCATGACCCTGGGATCAAGAGTCAGCATGCTCTTCTGACTGAGCCAGCCAAGAACCCCTCCTATGGCTTTGTTTTGTCTTTAATTCCTTCCTTGATTCCCACTGGAGGTGGGTGGCAAGTGGCAACCCAGCCAAAGCCAGATATTGCTTCCTCCATGTTACTCCCAAGTTTGACCCAAACTCAGAAGGGTCAAGGTAGGGGCCAAAGGATGCTGGCAACAGCCATGATTTCCACCCATCTCATCATGCCATCCCACAGTGGGGGGAGAACAGAAGCAGGACCAGGTGGCAAGAACCTAGGGAAGAAGCCTGAACCCTGCCCTCTCGCAGGGGTTGGTGTGCTCAGGCTGGGGATAGAAGGGAGAGGATGTCTGTGGGAGCCTCGGGCAGAGTATGCCTGGCATATGGTGGGTACCTGATGGCTTTCAGGAACATCCCACTCAAGAGAGCATAAGCTCAACTCTGCACTTTTCCTGTGAGGAAGGCCCCTGGTGGTATGTGGACCAAGTCCCACCAGCTAAGGAGAGGTGGGCTGTCTCCAGCCTGCTGGCTCAGTCCCACCCAACTCCACCCCCCAGCTCCTTGCCACAAATACCAGTCTCTTGTAGCTCTCATGGGTTTCATTACCAGACTTTATACCATCCTACCCTCCAAAGGGTCTTCCCTCCTGGGCTTTGCTCATGCTGTCCCCGCTGCCTGGAGCACTCTTCCACTCTCGCCCCCTTAAGTCCTACTCATCAATTGTCATGTACTCCCGTGCAGTCCTTAAGACAACTAAGATGCTGTGTTCCAAGAAGCCAGTCTTGAACCCCCCTCTCCCTAAGCCAAGGGGGGTCCCCTCCTCTCTGCTCCCATAACACTCTCTGCATGCATCCCGCCTAGCAAGCACTTGTTTCATGTGAGAATTCTGCATCGGATGTAGGGCCAGGCTGGATATTTCATGTCTCCAGTGCTTAATGCATGCCTGCCAGAGAGCAGGTCCCTAATAAACGTTGACCCAAGGACTGAAGAAACCTTTGCAGAGGTTGGGTCAGGTCAGGCTGGGTGTGAGTGGCCTGGCACAGCTGCCCAACGACTTCCTTCTCCTCCCTTTGCCATCCTTTTGCTAAGTTAAGTCTGAACATGCCCTGCATCCAGGTGGGAGCAAAGGACCTTCCTATTCCTCCATTTGCTTCCACTTTCTTTCTTTCTTTTTTTTTTTAAAGATTTTATTTATTTATTTGACAGAGAAAGACACAGCGAGAGAGGGAACACAAGCAGGGGGAGTGGGAGAGGGAGAAGCAGGCTCCCCGCTGAGCAGGGAGCCCGATGCGGGACTCGATCCCGGGACTCCAGGATCATGACCCGAGCCGAAGGCAGTCGTTTAACCAACTGAGCCACCCAGGCGCCCTGCTTCCACTTTCAACCTCCCCTTTAGCGTGAAGATTCTTTGAGGCTGAGGATCGTCCAGTAGGTGTGTGAAGTGAGAAACACATACCTCTCTCAGCCTCTGTTTCCTGATCTGTAAAATTGCATGGATAGGGATACCGTTCATATTTGTGAAAGAGTCTATGACTCCCAATGCTT